AAAAAAAAAAAAACAAGTGAAGTAGCTGGGATTGAGGGATTCCATCCACTCCCACAACTGTAATGTACCCTATATGGACAATAAGCTCAGTTGAGCCTCATTTCTTAATCACTTTTTTAAATTACTTTTTTTTCTGCTTTTTAAATATTAAGAACCTTTGGAACAGCAAGTTTGATAGTATTCACTGGATGAGTTTTCTTCAATCTTAACAAATGAAATTTTAAGTGCAACTTTAAGGACTTAAAAAATTTTGGGAATAAATGGCAAAAGGATGATTAAAGTGTTGTTTTTGGAAAGTTATAAATGGATTAAGGGTCTAGATTGACTTGAAATGGTATTTTTAAATTAATTGAATGAATCCTTCCCGTGGGAAAACAGCTCATTTTTTGAATTCTGGGGAAAAAAATGATAGGGTGGGAGTTTGAAGGTTGGACACTAGAGGGAGCTAAAAGGAAGTAAAGATTACAATTAGAAGAATACCTGATTGGCTTGTTAACACAGAATGGAGCAAAACACTTTAACACTGAATGTACTGAAGGATATATGTGAACATTGGACTCAGAAATTAATTTCAAGAAAGTCTGCTATCATCATCATCTGTGTGAATGATGTTTTGGAAGAGGAACAAGTTCTACCAGATAAAACAAATAATTTGAACATGGATTTAAAAAGGACATACAAGAATGATCTTGGGAAAAAAGGAAATATTGGATATACAAATGAAACTGGCTGTTTTAATAATTAAAAAGGACATACGAACAAACAAACAACCAGGAGAGTGACTTGGATAATTTTCCTATATTGCAGTTACAAAAGAGACCTGTTATAGTTTTGAAAGACTTGGTGAGAAGGAAAAGAAAAAAAGAAAAGAAATCAAGTTCTAGGACATTATTTGAAGGGATTAAAGATTAAGATTGTAAAGGGAAGGAATATAAAGTTAGTTTATATGATTAAAGTTAAAATAGATTATGTTATTTCTCGTAACCCTTAATGGACTTTTGCTGACCAGGACCGAATGATGTGGTTTTAAAGATTTGTCTATAGATAAAAGGTATGATATGAGATGAAGAGATTGTTGTATTTTAAGAGAAAGTGATAAGCTGTTAAAATTGTTTATTCTTGTTGAGACGAAGGAGGAAGCTACTTCTTTATATTTCTTTTTTCTTTTCTGTTATATTCTTATCTTTCTTCTCTATTCTTTTATATATATATTTTTCTTTTCTGCACTTTTTACTTTGTCTTTCTATTTTATTTTTGGTAGTTTGTATTAGTTTTTATCTGTATAACTGTATTACTTAATAAAATTATTTGAAAAAAATATTGTAATGGAATTGGAAATTTTAGTTTCAGTTAAATGTGTTATATCAGTCAGCATTCTTATGCATAGCTTAATGAATTCTCAATCCAGTTTGCAACTTTTGTGACAAAGGCTAATTTCATGTTGTGGAACACAGAATTACCTACCTCATAGTTCTTTTATATTTATCCTGCAATCACATTGGAATGTTTGTTTGTTTGAAAAGTTCTAGAGAGTGCCAAAAAAATGATATTGTTATAAAATTGTACAAAGTTCCTAGTGCGTTATTTTATGCTCAAAGTTGTATTTAAACTAACAATAAAATAAACGTAACTAATATAATAGGACGTGCAAGAAACTGATAATAAATAGTGAAAGTAATGAGGCTATTGCAGTTACATCTTGCTGTTCTTTAGTCATGGAATTATGTAAGTATGTATGTCGGCTTTCTGGGTTTTCTCCATACATTTGTAATCGAGGCTGCATCGTGTACATTCCAATCCTTGAATGTTTTCCATAACAAGATAGAGAAAAAAATAGAATGTAATATTGATAAAATTATTTTGATTAATTTTATGGATAACTAAGAAAAATATATATTTGTTCCTTTAGAAAATGGCACATGCAGAAACTGTTGTTAAAACTATTGTTTAAAATATACACTTGTATTTTTTGTTCTAAGTAAGCAATCGGATTTCTGATTTTTGTGTTTGTAATTTTAAAATACTTAATATGTTATGTTATACTTAACATAAATTAAAATACTTAATAAAAACATACAAAATTATACAAAAATTATATCCTAGCTGCTGAAGAAAAATTTAGTTTATGGGGTAGAGATGTCCCCCCTCCCAAGTTTTATTTGTTTGCACAGTTCTTTCAGGAAGACTGTAAGAAGACACAGTCTGTCAGTATATGCTTTGGTGAACAGTGTATAGGAAACCTCTAATCATTTGCTTTTTCTTTTGTTGAAAGTAACAGCAGCTTTGTTCAGCTACAAGAAAATTAGTAGCTGTTTTATAACAATGTTCTAAAAATACATTTTAAAAGTTCTTTTACTTTCTCTCAGATGCCATTAGTATAAGAATCTGAATACTTTCAGGCAATTTAAAAATAAGCATTGGATGTTATTATGTGGTACAATATTTTCTGTGTGTAACAAAATGTGTATCGATAAAGCTGAGCTTTAGTTGTGTTTATGCCATATTGGACAAAATGGGTCAAGCTAAACTAGTATTATCCTTACTCTTATCAGGGTATATTCATAGGTATAACTATGACCAATAGCCAAGTGTACATCTTCTCTACCTTACTAAAAAAATTATGTGAAAGCCTTGATTGACTGAAGCCATTATGGGCATTGGAAATCCATCTATGGGCCCATTTGATGAAAATAGCATATGGAAGATTGGGATTTGAAATGTAGGAGGTTTAAACAGCAAAGAACGTGAATTAACAAATGAATTTAAATAGAGATGACCTGATCTTGTTAACAGAGTTCATGAATTCATGCAGAAAAGCTATAATGTAGTTTTATTATGAACAAAAGGGCTAAAAATATACTGTATAAATTGCAGCCATCCAATTTGTTGTGAGTGCATATGAAAGTAGGAATCCATAGGATGGTGATCCTTGCAAGTTTTGCTCTAGTGAATGGTGGTAATGGAAGATCCAGGGAAAGGAAAATTGTGCAATATTTTGAATGAACGCTATCTAAGGGAAAATATTATTATGTTAGGTGACTTGAATGGAATTTTGGAACAAGCAAGAAAGTACAGAAAAAGTAATTTGGCAATTTGGAGACCTAATATTGGACAGGCAAAATTGCAGAAAAGTTTGAATGAATGTGATCCAGGGGAAAAAGTATTGTCCTAGGTGACATGAATGAATTGGTAGTAATGAGATGAGAGACTTTAGAAAAAGGCTATTCAAAGATCCAAGGATGAATGTGAATGGTGACTTGTATTTGCTTAGAATATGTGATTTTGGGAGAGAGCAAGTTAATTGTAGGTTTGTTGATTTAAGAGAGGCTTACAATAAGGTGAATAGGCTTAAATTAAGAGAATTTTTATGCAAATATGAAGTTGAAAGTAGGTTGCTGAATGCAATAAGAGCAGTATATGATTAAGTAAAGCATGTGTGAAAATAAACAGAAGGTTAGCCAATGATTCAGAGTGTAAAAGAAGAATGACATCCCCATTATTTAATGCATTTATAGATAAATGTAGAATGAGTGCTTGTGGTGAGATTGAAAGTATGTTGATTGGGGACAACAGTGTATATTTACTTTTGCATGGAGATAATGCCATGTTGATGGCTAAGAACCTAAAGGATTTGCAACAAATGCTAGACTATACGATGCAACAAGAAGTTTGGAACTTTATCAAAGTAGTTATGTTTGACAGAGAAAATGGGTTGAACAATTGTAAGTAATATACAAGTGGTGAAAAACCAGAGCTAGTAGATTAATTTGAGTACCTTTATAGAGTATTTACTAAAGATGGCAAATGATTCTGGTATTTCAGGATGTGTAAATGCTGTAAAATATAGTAGGGAGTATGAGGTCTGTTGTGAAAAATGAATGTCAAAAGTAGCAAAAGTAACTACTGTATGCATAACAGTGTGCTTCTGCCAGCTTTATTATCTGGAAGTGAGAGTTGTATGTCAGGAAAAACTAAATTTAATGCAATGAGAATGGAATAATTAAAAAGTGCATGTTGCAAAACAAGATAGAGGTCAAGAGTGAATGGGTGCTAAATGAACGTGGACTGAATACAAAAGTGAGTGACCAGTATGAAGAAAAAAGGTTCAAGAGGTTTGAGAATGAATGAGGATTGCATTGCAAAACAAATATATGAAGAAAGAATGAACAGATTGGAGAGGAGATGCACCCCTCCCACTTAAAGAACAAAAGCAGTATATAAAACAGTATACAGATATGGTGGAAGCAAAAATGGTTTGCAAAGATAGAAAGGAATGGAGAGGTATAGTGAATAAGGTTGATGTAAATTTGTTTTAGCTGTGTTTCCTTTCCTTTTCCTTGTCTTATGCCTTTAATTGGCTTACTGTTTCTTACTCCTTTTCTACATTCTACCTAATGTTGCTTATTCCGAAAGGGAACACAGTGATGAATATATGTACGTAGAACAAAAAGGGCATTTTCATCCATTTCAGAGTAAGCAACCTGATGCCTTTCAGAGGTTTTGAACTTCATTCCCAGCAGGCTGTGCCTACAGGAGTTTATGGCAGATGTAGTGCAGATAATAATACCAGATTGTTATGTCTAGGCAGTCTTCCTGTCAGTATTTATGCAGAGTGATTCTGTTCGGATTTAGCTTGAAATAGGTGAGTCTGGTCTTTTCTGAAATGGGTGTTGCTTTGCTTTATGGAAACCAGTGCATGTATACTTACATCATATTCTGTATAATCAGGAAGAAACCCCACCTTTCATCTCAGTCATTAGAACTATTAGGGAGTCACAGCAGTAAAATAAGGGAAAAGTTATTTTTAGTCTTGTGTGCATCACTTCCTCTTATAGAAATAAAATGTTATCTTTTACATTTATTAGGAAAAGTCAAATACTGGAAAAAGAACAAAATCTGTGCAGAGCTGCTGTGCTAGATACCCTGCCCTGCTGATCCTGAGGAAATATCTTCACATTAATTCTTTGCACTATTTGGGACTACCATTGGTTCAAATGTATTACTGGAATTTTTAATTGTTTTTGGAAGAATGTCCAGGGTAGAAATGGCAAAAGACGGAATTGGCAACGCCAGTGGCACACCAAATATGTGGTTTGGACAGGTCAGTATATCATTGCCCTTCAGCTTTCTGTAAGATTCTCAAGTATGAGGAATTTTGCAACATTTATTAAGGATAAGAGTGTGGTTTGTACATCATTGTAACAAATCTGTAACAACCTTATTTAGAAATTGTGTTTTCTTTTAAGATTTGAGTGGGAACAGGCCTGGATGAAAATGTGGTTGGTGCTAATCAGCCTTTAGGAAATAATCCCAATGGATTTTATAACCTGTACAGAAAAAGTGAACCCTAGATACTACTGAGGTTATTTTATAAAGAAGGCTTTGTACAGTTCTGAAGCTTGAGTGTTGTTGGTTGTTTTTTTTTTTAATGAATTCATAAGTTGCTCCTTGGTGAGGAATGCTAGGCAATATGCTAATATAATTATCTCTTTGATTTGCCTTAATTAAGATGGCGGGACTTCAGAAGTGAACTCTAAGAACATTTTTATCATTTTATAATTTATGACAGTATCATAACAGTGCAGTTTATTGTTTCCTCTTTAAAAAGACTAAGTATGAGCAAACTAAATCTTGAAGTGGAAACAACCGGAACAGGCAAAAAGACAGAAAGGAATCTGAATCTGTTGATTTTTGTGTCTGTGAAGTGCCCGTATACAGCTGAGGAGCATCAGGCTATTCAGGCCGCTCTGCGCCAGAGGCTGGGTCCAGAATACATCAGTAGCCGACAAGCCGGAGGAGGACAGAAGGTACAAATTATAAATTCAGAGCTTTGGTTTACTTTGTACTGAAAAGCATCCATTAACACCAGAGATGTGACCCCAGCATGTTCGGAGTAGCATGTTCCGACACTCTTAGACTTTTTTTAACATGTACTGATTGGTTGTCAACAGCTAGTATCACCAGCGGCAGATTGCTGAAAGTTAGTACTAATCTTCAGGTTGCCAAATTAGAACTGCTGACCAGAGATTTCAAGAGAAAAATAAACATAATCCTGGGCAAAATGGCTCTAAATGCCAGGTTTTGATTACAATATTATATTTTGTGTGTATTGCTAAACCAGTGGTACAAAGGATCTCATGTTCTATGGCACTGAATCTTTAATAGCTTTTCACACATTATAGAGAGGTATGACACATATAATGCTCAATGCCACCCTCGTTCCCTGCATACCCCATCCCACACTCTGGCCTAGATTTTGAGATATTACAAACATTCTCCTGCTGAAATAGAATCCATTTTATCAATTTAATATTTATGTACAGCTGTCATGTACAGAGCAATTTATGTGAAAACAATGTCACCCACTTGGTGTGGTAAATGTGGTGTCCCATATAAAAACTAAGCACTGTTATAATACATTTTTTTATCTGTTTCTTTATGTCTGTGCTCTGCCATACCACTTGGAAACTATATTACATAGTGATAGATCCTTCTTGAATATAATGAGATAAAAATGGATCTTTGACATTACATATCAAGTGCTACAGCAAAACATACTTCCTTTCTTTCTGCTCTCAGGTTTGCTACATAGAGGGACACAGAGTCATCAGCCTGGCCAATGAAATGTTTGGATATAATGGTTGGGCTCATTCTGTCACTCAGCAGAATGTTGGTGAGTCCAATAAAAACTTGTTTCGGTTGCTTTCTACTGAATCCTAGAAAATGTGAGAAAAATATTCCCATTGTAAAGGCAACTCTAATAGAATGTAGTAGGAAATGTTGAGATTTTTGCGATGCTGCTCTGCTCATGGAAGATTCTTTTATCTGGTAGAAGCTTTCATGTAGAGAAAGTGAGGAAGCAGTTTTTGCTTATTCAGTTTGTATTCTCAAGTCTTGAACTCTGTTGCACTTTTGCCATCCATGCCCACTGCCTCCTCTGTTACCATTCTTTTGCCACCTCCAGCCTCTGTTATCTGCAATATTTTACACTTTTTGAAATTGGTAGTATTCTGTAAGTTACTAAGTAGACATGCAGCACTATCCTCTTGATTAACCTATCCAGATAGTTGGAATATGTACTCAGCTTTCAGACAGTCAGAGGAGTAGACATTTACATCAATTTCCTCTTCCAGAAAAAATGGAGTACCATCTGTAAAGGTTATAATATCAGAAACAAAAATTATTCATACTTTTAGTCATAGCAAATTAATACTAATGACATTATTTGACCTACACAATTAAGAATTCAGTGACAGGAAACTTGCTGAATCAGTTTAGAAAAAGCAAAAAACGACATGTGGGAATAATAAAAAGTAAGATGTCTTTATAAGAACAATAAGCAATACCTTTATTTGAGGGCACGTTTTCAATTTCAAGAACTCTTCATCAAGCGGAAGATGATGAGATGGGCAGAAGTGGCTGATAACCTGACTGAAGACTGTGTCTGGGGTACTGTGTCCTATTGACAACAAGCAGATTTAAACAAGTGGCCATTTTTTCCTTCCTCTTCCATATCAGTGATAGCTGTAAATAATTTCTTTTATTTACAGTTTCTAGCTTTACTCTGATTGTGTTTAAGGTTGAAGCAAATGACCCTTGCTGCTTCCTAGAAACCACATTTGCTTTTTCAAAAAGCAATTCTTGTACAGAAGTTTTGTTCTCATATTTTAGTGTAACAAATGAATACTGTCGGGAATATCGTTAAGAGAAAGAAACATATCCTTCATTCCAGATGATAGAAGGATAGATTAACAAAGCAAGACAGAGGTGTATTCATCATTTCAGCCGCGTACTTGAGTACTTTACTTTTTGCTGTAACAGCCTATTAGGAAAGGTCAAGCACTGATAGATATACAGTGAAGGTAAAACTGGTCTGATACTCCTAATTAATATAGAGTAATATTTATGGAGGTTTTGTTAATTTCAAATACAGTATCTTATAATCAATGTGTCAGCTAATGATAAATCACTGTTCATTAAACTGAATGAAAATTACCAAACATCTTTCAATGGTTAGCTAATTTTAGTTAAGCATCTTTTCTTGCTTCCTCTTTATATAATTTGTAGTGTGTTTGGCCTTAGTTTTCTTTTGAAAAATAAAAACTATTTTTTTAATTAATATGTGGTTCCATGACTTTTTGATATATTTTGGTTCCTGCCTCTTGCTCTGTAGTCTCTAGTGTAACTTTTTCTTTCTCCTTTTGCAGATTTTGTTGATCTAAGTAATGGCAAGTTCTATGTGGGTGTTTGTGCCTTTGTGAAAGTTCAGCTTAAGGTAATCATGCATATGTGGGAGAAGATGGGAGTTCTAATGAGGTTGAGTTTTTAGGAACAGACAGCTAAATTGTACCCAAATGTACACAATAAGGACTCTTGAAGGTGCTATTTATAGTCAGATGGAGAGACTATATTGTTATAGAAAACTCTGTTACCAGGTGACAGGAATCAAATTACTTACTTAATGCTGAAGGAGGTATTCCACTTATATTTGCCTCCCTGTTCCGGGCCAAAGATCTACTGGCCTTGGAAAATTAAAATAGGTTAAAGTGCAGATTAAATATCTAAATCCCTGTAGATTCCAGCAAAACTGAATGCACCACAGTCACCCATTCATTTTTCTTCAAAAATTAAGAAAGAAATTGTTAGGATAATTATAGTAAAAGGGAATGCAATATATTCTACTCATATTGCAGGATGGGGCTTATCATGAAGATGTTGGCTATGGAGTAAGTGAAGGCTTGAAATCTAAGGCCTTGTCTCTTGAAAAAGCAAGGAAAGAGGCTGTAACAGATGGATTGAAGAGGGCCCTAAAGTAAGAGTAACCAACACACATATTTTTTGCTGTGAAATAGAGAATTATGTTTTAAGAAGCAGCCATCTGTCTCTTCAGGTGCTTTGGTAATGCTCTTGGGAACTGTATTTTGGATAAAGACTACTTGCGCTCAGTGAATAAACTCCCCCGTCAGGTATGTTGCATGGGGAAGGGGGTGGGGAGAGCAGGCTTCATGGAAAGTAAAAATGCCAAATTCTGGAGTGAGCACAAATTATAAAATTAATAGTAAACTGCGTTATTTATTCTCCTTCATAACTCATGTGATTTCACCATTTAGCTTTTTTGTATTAGAAATGTTTTCTCTTTTGTTCATTATTGCTCAGAACTAAACCAAAAGTATTATGTCATCATACTAGCAAAAATAAACCAAATATTTTTGTCTTATTTTAAATAGGATTTTGCAACATGCACAAACACATGTATGTTCTTGTAATTTTTATGTGGACCTTAGAATATATTTTCTGTATCTTATTGATATGACCCTTTGGATAAATTATCTTGAACTTGCAGTTCCTTTATTTATTTACCTGAAAGTAAGCTTAATTGAACTTGTATTTATTTTTGCATAATTGTCTCCAAGATCACACTATAAGCTTACTAAGACCTCTAACTAGATTAAAATTCATAGTTTTCCTCTTTCAATGTCCCTCCCCCACTACCACTACTATAATCTTAACCTTTATTTGTTGACTTTTTAAAATCTATAATTGTCATAAAAATAAAAAGAAACCAAAGGTGATCTACCGGGTGCATGGCACTAATGATAACTATAATTTGCTTTAGACAGACAAACAACCACATTAGCTCCATTTACAGTATTGGCTAAAAGCATGATGTAAAGAGGCAAAGCCTGCTCAAAATACCATTTGTTTCCTGGGCAGCTTCACTGATAAGGATTCTGTGAAATGCTTCTACTACATTCTGAATTTGTCTACCTGAATGGCTTTTTGTTTCATCCTTTTTGCTAGGTGCCTCCAGATTTTGATTTGGGCAAAGTTAAAAGGCAGGACTTTGATCCTACTGTAGAAAAGGCAAGGTATAATAGCTGCTTGCAAAAGGCAAGTGAAGACCAGAAGCCGTTTTCCTCATCAACCCCAGGCAGATCTAACAAGTTGAGATCTCCCTTGAATGCTACTGAACAAGATCAAAACAGGTTAGCAGCTTCATTAGATTTTAATTCATATTTTCCTCAGGCATACATTTTGAAATTTTAAACTCTTCATAATTACGTTAAAATGTTGCTGTTGAATTTATTCTGAAGTTTAATTTAGCAAGAGACTCCTGGGCGTTGTCAGATATTCTACTTTTGTTCTGACAGTATGGAGAGAAAGAGTAATGCAGTATTGCTTTTATGGATTCTTCCCAATTGTCTGGAAAGAAAGGGAGTTTAAATGTTTCCGGTCTATTTCCTAAGTGCCTGCCAGTTTGGTAAAGTACATGCCCAAGTGGCACGCATATCCTCTATCAGCCTTCTTCAGCCTGATGCCCCCTGGTTGTGTTGAGATTCTGCTTTCAGAGTTTCCTTAGCAAGCATGAGTACCTTTCTCATTAGTTCAAACTGGTATTCCTGGATCTTAAGTAAGATATTAAATGCAAGTAGAAAGTATGACGGAATTGATGTTTAATATGCCATAAACATCCTCTTGAAAAGGTGCAAAGCATGCAACTTCATCATTTTTCTTTTTCTAAGAGGTAAAAAGGAGGTAAATCCCAACTATGGAAGAACTTACTATTAGGGTTTTAAAGATCCTTATTTACAAAATACTACTGAAATGTTAGAAATCGTTATGGCACCTTTTTCTGGAGAATAACTAGATATTTCTACTCAAGTTAACTGTGCATTCTTACTTATCAAACTGTTATTTTGTAATAGAAAATGGAGAATTGACGGAAAGGGACAAATGTTTATCTTATCATTATTAAACAATTGGAAGCCACAATTCCTTGCTTATGTATTTTAAATGAGATCTTCCAACTGAATCTCATCCATCCATTGCTGCTCCATAGAAAATAACTAGATATAACACTGTCAGTATAATAAAACCAGGGGTGTGTAACACACTCAGTAGCTAAACTAATTTCCATATTTTTTTCTTCAAGAGAGCTAATATTTATTTACAGAAATTGATCTTGGAAAGAGACAAATATGGAATGGGTTTCATTTGCTTCTGCCATCAGCAAGTTTCTGAGTAGGGTTTCATCAAGGTAGAGGTTGGGTAAGACTTCTCAAAACTGGAATCTACTGGGATTGCAACAAGAAACTTGATATAAATTCTGGATTGGAGACTGGTGTAACAGGATAACACACAATAAAACACTCTAAGAATACTTTCGCTTATAAGCAAGCCACAGGAATTGACACATACAGATAGGCATCATTAAAAGCCATGGCGATCATTGCATTTCTTCCAGAGAGGCACCAGTAAGATTGGTTTGGGGTCCCATGGGAGCAGCAGTCTAGTTTACGGGTTCGGTTCCAACACTTTCTACCTTTTCAAATGTATAGTTAATGAAATACCCTAATTTGTTTATTAACAAATCCAAGGCAAGAAGAAAACTGTAGTTGAAAAAATTAATTATAGCACAGAAAGGTAAGTAAAATAGCTTAAGAGACCTGTTCAGCTTCTTTGCATATATCTTTATAGCTTTAACAGCCAAGTATCTGTGAATATATTTTACCATAAAAAAACAAGATTTTCGGAATGTACTAAATCATATTTAATATACGGTTTTGTGATGATATTGCACTAAATCATTGTTTTTCAACCTTGGCAACTTTAAGATGAGTGGACTTCAACTCCCAGAATTGCTGGCTGGGGAATTCTGGGAGTTGAAGTCCACACATCTTAAAGTTGCCAAGTTTGAAAAACATGGTTTATATTCTGTCATCGCAGGATCTCACTGCCCTTGGATTACGATGCAACTCACCATCGGAAGTTACGACAGAAGCAGCTTCAACAGCAGTTCAGACAGCAGATGCAGGAGAAACAGCAGATCCAATCAGATGTTTCAGCTTGCAGAACTAAAGATCAAGGTAAAATGCTAGTTAGAATCTATATGCTAGAGCTTACCAAACTCAGGATGGGCAGAGGAGAATCTAAGTAGTATGATTAATTACTTCCTTCCATGTTGATTGTGCCTTTGTCAGAAGGAGAAATTGACCTGCTAAACAAGTTATTATATGTACTCTAAAAAGGGTTCTTTTATGAAGAAATCAGAATGAAGGCTTAATCAAAATTTATTTCCTACTGCCTCTCTGAAGTTGTCATCTCAAAAATTGTGATGAATTATACACAAAAAAGCATAGTTAATATCAACCATTTTTCACCATTACAAGAAAATTATAGAGGAAAACAGATAGTGAAGTAAATAACCTAGAATAATTTTAGGGATGCAGAGATCAGCATGTTTAAAGAGGAGACAGTCAAGTAACTGTAGGGGGCAATTCTAATTAACAAAGGCAGATTTAAACAGTTGAACTGTAAATAGTTTTTGTGAAGCTATTTTGATACAACTTTGTAAGAATATACAATGATGTGGAGCTTTGAAAATCAGGTCTTAAATAATTTCAGATCTTATTTAACATGTATAATTTAAATCTGAAAAAGGAACATCAGGTAAAATTCATTTTCTGTATAAATCTCTAATTGCATGGCTTATTTTTAATTTTTTTAAAAAAATATTTAATTTATATAGCTGCCCATCTCACATATGTGACTCAGGGCAGCTCACAGTTTTACTCGAGTCTTTGAACAAATCCAGCTTGCTGGGAGCAATAGAGAAGCAACACAGAATTGGCCCAAGACCAGTCTTAGTTGTTAATGGTTTTTCCCATTCAAAGAAAACGATTCCTTCCGAATGTAAGCAAATGGGGAAGAACACAAAGCAGCCCAACAACTGGTCTAAATTTTCTCCAACAGCAACAGAGGGCTGGGAAGCTTTGATTCTGAAGAAGGGAGGGAGTTGCAGTGACTCCTGTTGCCCCTGAAACTCCCTTTTCCAATAGCCAGAGGGTTTGAACTGAAATACTGGGGGGAGGGGGAAACCAACAAAGTACCGTTACTATCCCAAAGTATTCAAACAGATTCTAGATTTCACTTGAAAAAATATTTAAATAAGTGTAAATAGAGGAACACAGTTCATTTGATAATCATTTGATTATTTGGGGGGGGGGAGATGAAGGCAATGAAAGACTATCATAGCTCTTTCTTATAAATCAAGAGAATTATAAGGAGCTGTAGACAGAACAGGAATGTTGAGAACCGTGAACCCCCTGCCCCCACGAAAAAAATCTCTTAAAAATTCGAAAGACAAAAAGCAAAAAAGTCCACTGATGACTGACCTTGCACTGTAGTTCCTAAGCGCCAAAACAAAAAAGGAACCTGGGAGAGGGAAGGAGGCGAGTAAAATCTCCTTCCCCGATCTGTATCTCCTGGGAACACAGAGAGGATCTAGACCTGCAGCAGCTTGGAGTTGCACAGGTGAGCTACCACTGATTTTCCATTGACAAGATAAAGACTGATATGAGATCTGTTGTCATAAGCAGTGCTACTTGTCCATCACCCATACAGTTTTACCCACCTCGATCCTGTCTCCTTGCTTCGAACTAGAAAGGTGGGTAAATGTTCCACTTTTTTCAGCAATTCTGTTCTCTGTACAGAAGCATACATTCCACCTGCCTTGGAACGCAACTCTTCTGTACAACTGGAACCTGTTGTGGATGAAGAATTCCTTGCAGGTCAGTATAAAATTGCTGTAAGGTGATTGGGTCATAGTTTTTATGACATTTGCAGGACCAGTTATTGTGCTACAGTAGCAGGGTACTAACGTGTATCCTTTTCCCAGGCAAATCCTCCCCAACACATCTGGTTTGATGCTGAATGCAGACTGCAGGAAGGACAGTGGCTAAAGAAAGAAACAGCCAGAGGGCATTTATAGTGAAGAGTTATTGGGGACAAAGGTGTTACACATCCATTCATCCACTTTTTCTAGAAGAAGTCAGATTTAAACATTCATGTATCTAAGCTTGACCCTGAGTATAGCTGCTTCCATTACAGTTCAGAGCCACTAGGAATCAGATGCATAACTGAACGATCAATGGTTGACGTTTCAGTTTTAATACCTGACTGGTTACAGATGATCCAGAACTTTGGGACTTTCCTTTGGAAGCTACTGATCACGATACACCAGCAGTGCCAGCCCAATGCTCAGGCACACCTCTTGGACAGCATCCCATGACGACTCGTAGCCGAACCCCACAAAGAATAAATAATCAGCAGTCGAGTATAAAACCTTCATCTTGGCATCTCTCCTCCAGTCCCAGGTCTTACTTACCAGGTAAACTATAAAAGAGGTAGCAAAGCAAGTAACTTTGTCTATAGGAACTAGGCTCTATGACAAATGCATGTAATAGAGTAGAACAGATAACCTATTCTTTGTCTCCTCCGTGAAAAGCAGTTAAAATGCAGCGCCTAGACTGTGAGGCATATTGTATATTAAATGTGATAGCTCAGCACATAAAATTGGACAATAATCTAAACTGTATCTAACTCCTGCAGAGTGCAGAGAAAAATTAGTACTTTTCCGGTGCTTTTAGCCTGTAAATTAGATCCTTCCACTCAGTAGTACATCTTTCTAAGTAAAACTGTTTAAAATGCAGTGGTGAAAAATGAAACAGGATCGATCTTGTTTAGATAAGAGAAATTAGGCAAAAATATATTTTTTAAAGGAAATACTCTCCTGAATGCCTGTTTTCCATTTCAGCTGAGTGCAGCCCATACCGAAAAAGCCAAGGAATGAAAAAGAGAAGACTGGAGCCCACGTAGAACAACACTTATGCTTCACTATGAGGGTTTTAATTCAGAACACATTTTAGTCCAATAAAATTGCAGACCAAAGGATATTTTCTCGATTTTATTACATGTAGTGCTGAACAGAAAAAAAAAAATGCACATTGCTTTTGCAGTATTTGACGGATGGCTTACAATATCACTTCAACTCTATAGCTAGAAGAATTAAAGATTAAAATCCTAATATTTCATTCCATTATATGTAATTCCATCTTAATATTAAAAAGGGTACTTTCTTCTCCTCAATTTTCTTAATTCCAATTAAGATTCCAATTCCAAGAGAGTAATTTTAGTAAGAATATATTTTATATATAAATGTGTTATAAAGGTCTCACCTGAATATGGATTTGATAATCAGAGCAAATTAGTTTTCCAATTTAAATTATAATTGCTCTTTCTATTAATGAACAAAACCAAAGTTTCCATCTACTCGAAGAGGTACAATCTGCAAATATTTGGAAAGTCTATTGCTAAAAGTAAGTTTAGGAAAACATAATATGCCTTTTTGGGCAGGGGGAGCATATAAGTGTCTTGGACTTCTCATGGTGTCTTTTTTTTTGGTGCATTAGGCAGAGTTTGAGAAAACAAAAGCCAGTCATTAGAACAGAACATTTTGCAATCTATAATTTAATGCAGTACCTCATATTATCAAGTATTCTGGTGCTTGCATTAAATAAGCAGAAAAGCAGTAAATATTGCTGCATAAACAGCCTCTGGATTCTCTATCACCATTCTGGTAGATAGGAGAGGTATCAGATTATTGTTTTTGTATTTAAACTGTCATGTTTTCTAAGTCAGTTGCAGAAAAATATTATATTTAGGATATATACTAATGGTAGGTGATGTGTTTTGTTAGATTAACTGAGCAACTTTTCTCCAGATAATTCCTGCAATATAATGTAGAAACAGGATCAGTCTATCTTTTATTTCTGTTGAAAAAGGGAGAAGGATAATTAAAGCAGCTTTTGTGTGAGATGCCCATAGCATCAGTGTGAAATAAGTTTCCTATCTCCAGGTAATCTGTAGGCTGTAGTTCTGTTTGACCAACAGCTAAGATAACACTTGAAAGGATCCCATTACTATCATATGTCACAACTCTCATTGACTTAGGAAGATCCCACATGTAAGATGTTATGCAATGTATGCGTATCATTTATGTAACTTTCCTTGATTATTTTCTTCTTTTCAAATTAGTTTTCTTAATTTTCAAAATTGGTCCACTATGTTCTGATCTGCAGATTAAACCAAAATTATTTGAACTATCAAGAATGTTAAACCCTGTATATAATGAAGCTTTGGGACACATCATACTTATCAGGTAGTAAGATGTTAAATGGATCAGCTACTTGCTACTTTAAGTCAGTGTCTGCATTTTAAATGTTTACATAGTTCTGCTTTAATGAAATATTCCAATAAAGAGACATTTGCAGGCATTTTCTTCCTACCACCCTTGATATATAGGCATTTGTTTATATCTATGTTCTGTGGTCATTATTTATGTATATATTACCTAGGCACAAGTTAGGAGTTTTAACCTAAGGATATTTTAAAAATGCATTTTTTGTGTGTGATCAGAGCTGCAGAACAGTGTTAATGTAATGTTACCCAAGTGGGCAATGCCAGTGGGGTTGGGGGGTGGGGGTGGGCTGGAGATCTTCTGGGTTTTCTTGGCAGTTTAAGGTTCATATAACTATCCAAGAGTATAATGCAGCCTTATTCCCTTAGCGTGCATGCATGAAATTCTCCACTAGATCCTTGGCAACCATTGAAGTAGCCAGACACCTTATCACTGCTACAGTTAATCTAGCTTTCTACCTATAAAAGCAGATCTATTTTACAATATGCAACTTAAAACAGAAGAGATGAAGGGAAATACTCCTTAGCTGATTTTAAAAAGCTAAGCCGCATTGGACTTACTCAGTACTTGATTGTCTGGAGATGCCAGAGCTGTAGGCTAGACTGGAAGTTAAAAAAACACCCCAGAAGGCAGCAACAGTAAACCGCTCACATACTGTTGCCAAGAAAACCACATGGATATGTCTATGAAGCTCCCAGAAGTTGAAGGGAGTTTACGTAAAGGGGGAAAACGTGCTCTATTCCACAAAGGATGGGAATTGCTAAACTGCAAGTCAAGAAACACACCCAAGATTCTAAGACTCAGCTTTACAAAGATTCAACATTTTGGGGAGAAGAAACAACTTCCAGTCCTGAAGGAGTGGTTAGCACAACCAGTATGATTGATGTCAGGTAACTTCTATTGGAAAAATTGTTACAATTGACTGATTGATTTGAAAGCAACTGGAGGTGAGAGGCTATTTGTATAATTGACTTGTTTCTTTCATCTCCGTTATTTCACTGCTGTCAGGATTACTAGGGAAATGTTTACTGCCTTGGCTAAAAGAAATCTTTAGGAATTCCTCTACTCTTACTGTTGCAGGATCTGCATATACAGTAGTCTTAAAAGTATCAAATAAAAATTGGGGGTTGAGTAATACTAGAACTAAACTCCTCTTCAAGATCAGTTTTTTTCATTTGATTGAAAATTCAACACTTTTTGTTCATGATTTTGTCCCATCTGCAGGGTTCAGCAAACTAGAGTTTCAACAAAGCTTCCACTGGTAGCTTCTCAGATGATCACTGAGAAAATGCAAATGTGTGCAAACTTGTCTGGATGATGAGGCTTAGTGGATATTGGACTCAAAAGGCAGCAGGACACAGCAACTGGGTACAGCTTCATATAGCTCCAGAGATTTTTCTTCCCTTAGTTCTGAACACTCATATTCTGATCAAGATAAACAATACAGCAATAAAGATCCACATAAAAAGATGATATCTCAAATACTGCCAAGGAAGAGAATTAATTACCAGACTGTCCTTTGTCAACTTGGGTAGCAGAACATGTTTCCAGAAGATTACGGATGGGGACGTTGTGGCTCTCCAAATGTTAATGAATGACAGCCAGTGGTGTGGGATACCAGAAGTTGTAGCTCAGCAACATCTGAAAGGCCACAGGTTTCCATTCCTGTAATAATAGTTTAGGATTTCAATTATAGATCTATTTAAAACAGCACACAGCACTAAGCTCCTGTAATATCTTATTCAATTCTAATCAGTTCAAGCACAAAGGAACTCAACTTTGTTATTCCCTTTGTCTAAAGAGCCTTTTTCATGTAGTTCCTGTACTGCAAGCAGTTTCCAAGGTTCTACATAAATTTCCCATACAGAAGGCAGGATTTATTTATGAAACCAGTGGCCACACAAGCTTGCTTTTTTTCCCAGGGGTCATAGTTTCTGCTCTAATAAACTAGAGTCTCTGACTAAGACTCTGGTTTACTAGAGTGCAAGCTTATAGTTCATCTAGACCATAAAAAAAAAAAAAACTATGTTAGATTCCAAATGTCCTCATATATCAAAGATATATGAAGCAAATTAGAAAGCCTTTCCGTAAATGATGAATACTCTAGTTGTTCTCTTAAGGACTGTTCTTCTATCAATTGTCTAGAATCAGCATAGGATTTTTTTTTTTTTCACGATACCCTGATGTGAGGTTATCTTTAAGGAACGTGATTCTCAGAATCAGCCTGCTTATGTTCTAAGGGAGGCTCTTTTCCAAGTACTTCAATACGTTAGGAAAAAAAAAAAGGGGGGGAGAGATCCTTCTCTAGTATGACATGTGAATTCTGGAATGGTCTTTTTTTAAAAAAGCAGGGATGGACAGATCCTGAAGAACCATGAACTTCACTTGGAGGAACTCAGAATTTCGGAGTGAGTTGCACACATGGGTGAGACTAGACGGGGAAAAGAATTATTTTTGTTTTTTAACTGATATGTCCATGCTGGGTATTACATCATAGTTTTCATCTTTCTCACTTCAAAATTAAAAACTTCAGTCTTTACAAACATTTCCTCCCATTCATTTGGCACATGTATGTACTTTCAGGTATCTATTTTTGGTCCCAACCATGAGAGTTTAGGATGTGTTGAATTTCTAATGCAACTTTCCAGTCCTTACAGGTACAAAACATATTTGAAAGTTCATAATGCCTGTTGAAGTCTCAAAAAACAAACAAACCAACAAACAAAAATTCCCCACAAAAACCCTACCAATATAGTTAAGCCTTTCAAGTAATAGTATAATCACTGGTTGGAGACAGCAGGATTCTTCTCGAGCTCAAATAACTATTTCACGACATTCTTCAACTTAGCATCCTCCAGATGGGTTCCCGGCCAGAGTTTGCAGCCCTGGGTTCAAACAGGTTGAACCATCTGTCCTGTAACAGTATTGCTGACAGCAGCAGGAGCTCACGGACAGTTAAGCTTCAGGGCACCGAAAGAAGCAAATGCCAACTGAAAACGAAATACCACAGCTCAACAAAAGTAGGTTTGGTTTATTTGAATGATTTCATTAAATATCTACAAAGAAGGTAACAAACTGCAGCACAAAGCGCAATCATACAGGAAGCGCAATGCCTGGATTTAGTGCAAAACATACCATTAACTACGGCCAGGGAAGCCCAAGGTTTGAATTTATTTTATTTTATTTTTACAGTGTACATTGTTAAATAATGTAAAGAAAACATCTGTAATTCAGAAACAGATCTTGTGGAAAAAGATACTCAAAGTGTAATATTAACACAAAATAATTTAACAGTTCAGTAGCATTAGTTAATTCTTCTAGACCTCAGTTATTTAATCCACAGGAGGGAAATCAATGGTAAATAAAACCAGTACTTGCATAACTAAGTGAAAAACCCAACCTCAAACATATTAAACCAAAATACCATCCTCGTGCAACACTCAGCTGACCATTCTACCATGAAGTGGCATCTCTCCTCATTGCTTCTTTATACTTTCTGCACATCAACTCATTTTCTCTCTTTAGAAAATGGCCACAAACTCAGAAAGTACAGGCTTCTCCATTAACTTAACAGCAGGAAGCCATAGCTTCCCCATATTCCATCAAAATGGGGACTTAAAGTCTGAAAAATTGTTGAAGCCCAGCTACCTAGACTCTTGTCTTTTGTTTTTCAGCCACCATACCAAGACCTATCTTCTTGACAAAGCCACTCTAAACTTCAACTTGAGACAAAGGGATGGAAAGACAAACCTGTGCATATGTTTGAGGGTAGAGTGAACAAGTACAGAAATAACAAATTCCCTGCTAACCTTAAAGGAACTTTTTTTTTGGGGGGGGGGACATTTTTTTACTTAGTATACAAACTTTTAGACCAGCAGTAAAGCTACTCCCAAATACAAAATAGAAGTACTTTGACCCTTCACAGCCTGCTGCAGCAATACAGAGTAATACTAGTTGGTTGCAGTATTTCATTTGAATAAAGAATCTGTATGTTGAGTTAGAAATAAAGATGAGTGGAAAGTAGGAGATATAGTACACCTACTAGAAGGCAACACCGTTACAGTCTTGTACCAGGTTTAAGTCCTTTAGACATTTAACAAAAACAAGTTATTTTGGATCCTGGGTGTTTCAAGTGTATCTATCCTTGGCAATGAAACCTGCATCAGGAATCTATTCCTGCCCTTTCTAGGTAGAATGAAGGACAGTGAGGAGCAAATCCCAGGAGACTTTCACACTCCCCAGAGGGATCAGCTCCAGTCTCTGAACACACATTGCCCCTCTTGGAAACCTTTGTAGCTTTCAGTCAGCCTGCCCACAGGAGCTGTCCTTTCAAAGACAAACCTCTCTCTCTCTCTCTCTCTCTCTCTCTGTTCGCATTCAGCCCAGCTTTTACTCTGGTTACACTACATTTCATCATTTCTGTACCCTCCACCAATATCCATCGCTAGTTCCCCCACCACTCCATAGCTTTACCTTTTCAACATACAGCTGCAGTAACTCCCCCTCCAACACCTACTCTAGACACTGTTATAGTATAAACATCCAATGTGTTAGGCCTTTGGTATTGCAGTGACTATGTCCAAGTAACCTCCCTCTCCCCTCTCCCTCGGTCTGTCTAAAGTCTGCTGGGAAGGTGATGCTAACTGCAGAAGCAATAAAAAGTCCAAGGCACTAAAATATCCAGCAAGCATACTGGGAGAACAGACAAGTATTCAAGTACATTAATTTATACAATTATACATTCACATTTATCTAATACAATGAAAATAAAAAGGAAAAAAGTTAAAGTGTCTCCAATAAGTATCAGGATATAGCTAGCTTTTTTCCCATTTTTTCTTTTTTTGACTGTTTAACCCTCTATACTCCACTCATTTTTTTAAACTACTGTTGTCCAACAACATTTATATATCACAGTGTTTCCACATCAAAACTGATGGTAAGTACATGTCCGCAGGGAACTTTTAAATTTTTTTCTTCTAAACATTTTAAATTGCTCTAATGCTGCTGTCAAAGCTGTTAATATCTTTTCCTGAAAGCAGGAATGACTTATCTCAAAGCATGGGCTGTTCTGCATGTCCACTTGTGTGCTCACCAGTTCAGGAACTGTGGTGTGATACTTTGAAGGAAGGAATAGACAAGGTGGTGAAAAAATGGACAGCTTTTCCCCTGGGCTTAATTCTTCAGAGCAAGGCAAACAGCATACTCAAGATTCATGCGAGGGCTAACAACTCTCTTCTCAACCCATAAGAACCAGCCTCTTAAGTCAAATGAATTTTACAGTCAGAGGCTGCTGGCTTGCATGGTGATTTCCATCTTTATACATTCTGCCACACACAAGAATTAGAGGAAGCATGTCCCATCATAGAGGATCCTGATCACCTTTCTCCCCATCTTCCAAATGGGGGGCTTTACTTACTGAGAGCAGAGAGCAATGGTTAGGGGGGGGGATCCATCCCCTTTGGGCACAAAGAGCCTAGCAGTTAATTCAGGCCCCAACCCCTGCCCAAAGGTCTACCCAGCAATGTGGCTGGGAATCACTAAGTGGTCCGCAGATTAGAGCCAGGGGGGTTGCTGATAGATTTCTGCAAGTTGCTGATGTTGAAGCTTTGTAATGAGGCAGTTCCTACAGGCTGGAACTGGTTTAAAGGCTGCTGTGCTGGACCACCTGTCCCACTCCAGGGGGCCACAAAGGGCACTGTTGGATAACCAAATGGCTGAGGGGGACACATGGCCTTGGTGAAGTGACCTAGGGAGGTAGCTGATGCTGCAGAGATAGGGGTAGCACCAAGAGATGATGTCATCGAGATGCAGAGTTGGCTTGGTGCAGAGAACTTCCTTGCCATTCCTGGACCCTAAAACATACAAAAACAATGGAACTCAATCCAAAATCAAGGTATTTGAAAGTTGCTAAACAAATTATCTCTTTCACTAACTATATCCAAACATGATCCCCAAAAGTAGCCAAAGCACTTGTACAGTGGTGCTTAAAAGTTTGTGAACCCTTTGGAATTTTCAATATTTCTGCATCAATATGACCTAAAACGTGATTTGTTCTCCATACAAGTCCTAAAACTAGATAAAGAGAACACATTAAACAAAATCAAAAACATTGTACTTGTTCATTGAGGAAAATGATCCAAAGCTACATATCTGTGTGTGGCAAAAGTACGTGAACCTTTGCTTTCAGTAATTGGTGTTTACTTGGGCAGCAATAACTGCAACTGAACATTTCTGGTAACTGTTGATCACTCCTGCATATTGGCTTGGAGGAATTTTAGCCCATTCCTCCTTACAGAACAGCTTCAACTAAGGGATGTTGGTGGGCTTCCTTGCATGAACTGCCTGCTTCAGGTCCTTCCACAACATTTCTATAGGATTACAGTCAGAACTTTGACTTGGCCATTCCAAAATATTAACTTTCTTCTGCTTTAACCATTCTTTGGTCATACAACTTGTGTGTTTTGGGTCACTGTCTTGCTGCACGACCCACTTTCTCTTGAGGTTTAGTTCACAGCCAGATACCCTGACATTTCCTGTAGAATTTTCCAGTACAATTCAGAATTCATAGTTATATCAATGATGGCAAGCCATCCTGGTCCAGAGGCAGCAAAACAGGCCCAAACCATAATACTGCCACCAGCATGTTTCTCAGATGAGATAAGGTTCTTATGCAGTGTTTGCCTTTCACCAAACATAATGCTTTTCATTCAAGCCAAGAAGTTCTGTTTTGGTCTCATCTGTCCATAGAACATTCTTCCAATAGCCTTCTGGCTGATTCTCATGGTATTTCACAAAATGTAGACAGGCACCAATGTTCTTTTTAGAGAGTAATGGCTTTCTCCTTGCAATCCTGCCATGCACACCATTGTTCTTCAGTGTTCTGATGGTAGTCTCATGAACACTGACATTAGTTCCTTAGACATTACCCTGGGGTTCTTTGAGACCTCTCGGAGTATTATATGCCTTACTCTTGGTATGATCTTGGTTGGTTGACCACTCCTGGGGAGGGCAACAATGCTGTTGAATTGCTTCCATTTGTACACAATCTGCCTGACAATGGACTGGTAGAATCCAAACTCTTTGGAAATAGTTTTCCAACCATTATACATGTCCACATACCTGTGTTGCGAAGATCAGATTTTGAATTCTGTTCTTTAAATAAAGCAGAATCCCATGCTCATACCTGATAATCATGCCATTGATTGAAACACCTCACTCTAATTTCCCCTTCAAGTGAACTGAGGATACTAGAGGTTCACATACCTTTGCCGCATGCAAATATGTAGCTTTGGATCACTTTCCTTAATGAATAATTGAGCAAGTATAATGTTTTTAACTCATTTGTTTAATTGGGTTCTCTTTATCTAGTTTTAGGATTTGTGTGGAGAACAGATCATGTTTTAGGTCACATTTATGCAGAAATACTGAAAATTCAAAAGGGTTCACAAACTTTATACTGTAGTATAAAGTCAGAATGAGCACTTACCTCATAATTGCCATGTCCTTTGCCTCCTTTCTTGCCAGAGAGATTCATAGCATCACGAGCCCAGTTGTCCACTAGTTTGTGCAGGTCATCAGTAAAGGTTCCTTTCCGACTAGAGGCAGGGGGCTGAGACTGGGGTGCCTGGCTGTTTACTGTACCCCCAACAGTGTTTATACTGCTGGTCCCTGGAAAAATAAAAGCAGCTATCATTTAAATTTGATTGGAATAGAATTTCCTGGAGGCCATCAATAGTTACAATGTAAAATAAGAACAAGAATTTAAAAAGCCATGCATATGAATTCTACTTGGACATAATGAAAAGGAAGGATTTTGGGGCTCAGCTAGCAGTTTTTCTGCTATTAAGTTAATTATGTAATTGTGTGTTATTTTTCAGATCAGTGGGTGGTCTGCAAAGTTGCCATTTTCCATAGAAAATTGGATTAACTTTAGGCATTAATAACAGGGCTGTCAGGAACAGTTTCCTCCCCATTGTCTACAAGCACCTATTATGCTCAGTTAACCCATTTGCCAACTCTACCCACTAAATCCAATACCAAGAAATTGTATATTCATCATGGGTAACCACTCTGTTCTGCAGATGGACAATCTGAAGCCTCCAGAACACATTCCTGGAAACACTTGTATTACTAGCAGTAACTGTTACACAAAATTGTACTAATAGCCCGCTGACTTCACGTCCCAACACAATAGATGACATATGGCAAACAATCTCATCTGCTTCAAACTGAGATGGTGGCTTCCAGGGAAGCCTGCTCATCTATAGTTCCAAAGGTTTCATACCATGGGACAGAATGGTCTCAATAGGTCTAAAAAGAGAAACACAAGGAGCTACTTGATTAAAAATATGGCACTTGGTAGAATCAGATCATAAGAATAAAAGAAAGCCCAATATATACACAGGTATATTCCAAAGGCTTTCCAGTGGCATATCTATACTGAAATGGTGTGGAAAAGTTTTGTTTGTAATAGTTAGTCAAATAGCAGAAAACTCAATGCAAGCTTTGAGAACCTCATATGCGCTATGAAACAATCAGCCATAACCAAAACAGACATGTTCATCAATTTATAAAAAAAGGATCTGAACCCAGGAAGGTCGCTGTATAGGTCTGTACAGGACATCCAGTGTGGAAAAATTTGAAGTACAAGACAAGTAGCATACTGATCTTATATAACCCCAGTCATATGAAGAAACCTGCTTACAATACAAAGGGAAAGATTGTGCTCGGATATATCGAACTTAAAGCACAACAGAACAGTATGAAAGTGCTCCCAATACCGCTGTTTAAAAAAATACTGGAATGTAAGTTTTATTTAAAAAAAGCCTGGAAGGCATGAAGCGTTTGTGCAGCACGCTGGATCTAAGAGCAAAGAGGTGCTCTTGTGCATGCAGGGGCACATGTGTTGCACCTCTACGTAGCCACAAGCATCTTCAGGGGGAGCCAAGACTGACAAGTGGCAGAATGTGCAGAGTGTGTGAAGCTGCAAACTCTGCAACTTATATACTTGCACCCAATGTTGGGATACAAGCAAAAAAGGGCACGGTTTGCACTGTGATGTTACTGCGTGCATGTCATTTTTGCATCCTGACAAGTGGCTGGGATACCTATGTCTGCAACTCCATATCCAAACATGTCTTTTCCTGGGTTGCTAGTTCTATGGGCATGTCTCCATGTGCTCCTAAGCACTTTTTTGCCTTCAGATCCAAACTGCTGCACAATCCTAGTCTCTCTTGCATTATGCATTATGGCAATTGACACTATTGCTTAGAAACTAATAGTTAAAGCAAGGTTACAGACAATAACAACTGGATTCTGGATCCCTAGATCTGACTGATAAAAATGCTGATAAAAATCTCTGAATTCAAACCAGCTAAAGAGATAAACATCCTTATTTGTTATAGCAATTGGGAAAGTTGTTACTGCACTGTGAAATGCTGTATAAGCAAGCAAGATGACTAACTAAGATGGCGTAAGAGGCAACCCTCTCCCCTGAATTATACTGAATAGACAGAAGGGGTCCACATGCAAAGAAGAAAATGGAAAAAGAAATCTTCTGCCCAGGTGAGAGAAATGAATGCAGAATAAAATCACAGACAGTTATTGTGTACCATGCAAAGGAACTACATTTGATACACGAAGATTCACCTGTCATGAAACACAGGCTGTAACACAGGCACAAACCTACTGATAAAGGAACAGCCAGGAGACACACCAGCACAGGTAACACACAATACTGAAGAAAAGAAAACCATCTTCACATCATGTCATCAGTTTCATGCAGGGACTAGAAGATTCCTTCAGCCCCTTCCTGATGGCCATAAAAATATATTCCTAGATATAGTGCCTGTACCTAAAAACCAGATATCAAGACATTGGGGTAAGGTTGATGGTGTGAATTCTAAAGTGTGGCTATCTTTTTCTTTTACTAGTTGTTCAGCATGCCCCCAATTGCCTTACAAACTCTCTAAGTTAGTTAGATAAGGATTTACAACATCAAAAATGACCACCATCTCTCAATTGTTAAAAGTAACCAATTCTTAATCTATTAAACCAGCCATCAAGAAGGGTCTGACAAGAACTTGGATCAGTGTCAATAGAAAACAACCTCCCGTCAATCTTACTCAGTCACAGCAAATATTACAGAATTTTATTTTGGCTCTTATCACTAAACAAAACAGAGATCTTTCCCTCTGTCTGTGGCCACATCACTGCATTAAATCTCTTGAATATCTTTCCTCCTTAACTCTGCCAATGTGCTTCACTCCATTTACTGTATCTGTATTAGTTATACTTTTTATTATGCTATAGGGTCACTCTGAGATCATTTGCTTGCTTGCTAGTTGTCCTTCCTTTTAAGATATGGATCAGATACTGGTCATATGCAGCGGAATCATATAATCCCCTTTTGATATAGTTTTTACAACCAAAGGCCTTGCATAAAAGGAGAGTTTGCCTTCCAATACAATATGAAAATGACTAGAGCCAATACGTGCTACAGCTTCATGACTAATCTCCAAATAGTACACAATTAAGTGATGGTCAAAGTTATTCTTTGTAGTAGTAATGGGATGTCCAAGCCTACTGCCACAGTAATGCAGAAATACATATTAGAAGGGACAAAGATATAGAAAAAACAGATGCTGTGCTTAAGACAGATTCAGGGAGGTTAAATTGTAGGGGCCAGAACAAAACAACATAGCCTGGCAATCAGAATTCAGAGGTAACCAAAAATGAAATAATTACTACAGAGCTGGTTGCAAGGGCAGACTTTTTTCACCATCTTCCCTAAAGCACAAAGAGAAAGCAATTGGTTAAAAGAGAAACAGTGAGAAACACTTAGTATTAGCAAACAGCATAAGGCACCTGGTGATAAAGTAGGAAAACACAACAGGTTATTGTCCCTTGGTGACACTGCTTTTAATTCTTGAGAGGCCTTCCAGCAAGACACACTGTGACAACTTCCAGGTGGAAGAAGAGCAGCAATATGTCAATTTAATTGCATTTTTGTTTAGAATTTCTCAAGTACATTATGGTGGTGAGTTTTTTATAACATAGGTTAATTTCAATTAATCTTTCAATAATTCAGATTCTCTTCTTGTTTAGAAAAACATGACAGTCAAATTGAATTGAAAGATAAATTAAACCTGAACCGAATTCAGTATTGTAACCTTTCCTCTCCTCTTTAATTTTGTTCCTGACTGCAAAAGGAATAACAACAAAAATCTCCAAAGGCTATTTTGCTGTTTTGATATTATAATTGATATAAGAGTTGGCCAATATAGTCCCCAAAACAATACCATCTTTTCTAGAAGGTCAGTGCCATCCAAAGTAAGAGGGAACCTGTTGAACCTTTTCTACTTTTTTGCCAAGTGTACAAAGACAAGTGTTATTGAGGCCAGCCTCATAACTGCTAACAAGGACCTTTTCCCCTATTCCACAATCTATTGATAAAAAGACAGGTCTCAGGAAAACAGAAAACCTGTTAAAAATTGAACAAGCCAAGCCATGCTTCCACAAGCATTGCCAAGTTTTAGAGGGACAGCAGAAATAAACTGATGCCAAGTTGAGGCCATTACAAATTTCCATTATTTTTAGGCCCCAAACCCCTTTGTTCCCCCCAATTATGGCTCATAGTTCACAGAGTATTTCTGCACCAAAAAAAAAAAAAACCCCACAAAAACTCATACAGCAACTATACATGTAAATTAGCCACATTCTTCCTATTAATTATCCTCAAAGGTAATTACTGTTTTCTGAGGGATTTTTATTTTACTGCAATTTAGTATTTTCCAATAACTATTTTTCAGTCTTAAATCACCATTTAACAGCACCTGGCTGACTACGTCCAGGCTCCGAAACGAAGGCAAGCTCTGCTGTTATTGTGTGAAATTCAATTACTGATTGAGGACATCTTCCTTTAAAATCAACAGGAATAGGGAAGAAATACTTTTGCCTAATTTCATGCATGAATATACTTCCACAAGTCACTCATATAATGAGAAGACAGGACCATAATACCTGTAAATTAAACTAGTCATATCTTTATGCAGCTTGTAGATCAGCTCTAACCTTCCTAGATTTTTGTATATCATGGTAGCAGGACACACAGGTGTCTTCCCCAGTTTCTAACTGAACTGTGATAGTTGGCCACATAGCTTTCAGGGAAGATTGTCTTCTTGATCTGAAGTGCGTCAATGGAAAAAGTATTGTAGCACTTCTCCTGGAGCAGATATATCCCCTAATTTTGCTGAACTGCTGTTGTGTTCAGTCAGTGCTATATTCATACTTGCTTGTGCTTGTTTACCTGTGTTGACAAAATCAGCCCAGACAGATGAGTAGCAGCCTCATCTCAGGGTTGGGTGAATTAGTTTCTCATGTGCAGCGTAGCTGTCATGAAAACCACTAGGAAAGGAGCAAGCACCTCCCTGTCTGGCATATCTGGTCCCTGGTCATTACTTCTCTATACCCTACAGAGAAGTCTACATATCTAGGCAAGGCTTCACAAGGATGTGTCCTTGTAACCTGAAGCACCATATAAAACCACTACTACCACCAGAGCCTGTTAGCTGAGCAGCAGGGTAACAATTTCAGAACACTGCTTTCTGCAAGCTATACTTCTCAGTCAAGCCCTAAGGTCAGAAGATACAAGAAGGCAGATGTAAATGGACAGCATGTGATAACAGATCCGAGTAGCCGAAAACAAAAAGACGAGGAAGGAGTAAAGGTGTTACACACAAAGAGCCAAGCAGGGCGTACTCAGAAATCGGGTCCTCCTGCCACCAGGCTTGAATGTCACCCGCTCAGATGCACAGTTAAACTTCACACAGCCTGTGATAAAACAAAAAACAGAAAAAAGGGGCGAAGAACAAGGACAGGAGATAGAACACAACTACAAGATGTTAGAGAACTCTAGGTTGGACTGGTGAAATGCATTAGCAAGACACAGGAGAAAGAACCTCAACCAATTCAGAGGTTTACACAAGACACAAGAAACCAGGACTTTTCTCTGACCCCCCCCCCCCCCCAATAATCACATCTCCAATATCGTGTTGCTTCTGATACCAGAACACAACTATTTTAATCTAGCAGGAACAGGATTGCATGCTACAAGTAATATATATATACATATATATATTACAGCAATGGCACAATAGGACATAATACTGTACAATTTGAAAGATATATAAGTTAGTATGCTCCAATGGTTTTTAAAAAGTGAATGACTTTCTCTCTAGTATAATGGTTTGGAAGAAGCCCTAACTAACATTTTAATATTGTATTGTTTCATTTATCCTTATCTCACATGCCTGATCTTCAATTCATACACTGAAACTGTACTTATGCCAACATTTATTTTTTTTAAAAAAGGATTTATAATTTTTAAGGGGGGAATCAATGATCAGAGTGCACTGTACAAATCTTCCAGAGAGCTTATATTTCAAACGAGCATAGTAGGATGGACAAGTTGACCTATCTTATTTAAGTTAAACCTTTCTTGCAGCATCTGCCTTAAGCTTTACTCCTCCACTATCTCCTTATTGAAGAAGGTACACAAGGAGCCTCCACTGTCATCTCTCTTGATTTTATTTGCAGGGTGCGTCAGGTTCTAGGAATCCTGCCATCCTCTGATGAGGATAAGGCTGTTTAACCTCCCACTACAGCCCAAGTGAACTTGATTTTATTGATACTCATCTACAATATTTACCTTGGCCTGGTGCAGAAAGGCTTGGAACAGAAATGGCACCATCACTGGTAAAAGCAGAGTAGAGATTTTCACTAGAAGGAGACGGCTTCAGAGGCTGTAACAGATGGTTCTGTCCTGTTTCAGGGACATTGCCAGGTGGATGCAGGGTCTGCTGCTGGGGCAAAACTGAAGGGGCACTCTGAGCAGACAGGTTTCCTGTGCAGGGACAGAGGAGAGCAAAAATTAGGGTGTTGGTAACATAGTGAGTACTTTGTTTTCCAATCCTACTTAGTCATGTTCATATTTCAGTTTCTGAAGCAAGATCTCTAATGACAGATAGGAGTATGCATTAGCTATTAATCCAGTCTGAAACTAAAAAGAGTAAAATTCAGTGAGAAACTATCAATCTCTGTTCAGAGGGCTATGGTTGCACATGAACATTCAGGTGTTCACATATGATTAGCCCTAATGTAGGTTAACAAAACAGAGTTGCTGTCTTCACATTACATGATATGACCTTTTTCTACTGCACAGATCAGGATTTGGGAATCCTGGAGGTGGTATGTCCTGAGACCTGCTGAATGCCCACTTGAGTGACTGGACAAGTATTTCCTGCTGAGCAAGGGGAGGCTTTAAAAGAAACATAAAGCAATCTGGTTCAGGTAGTGAAATCTTGGCAAATAGAGTTAATAGAAGAGAGAATTCCATAACAAATCTTTCCTCTAAATCAGGAGTTTTTACTTAACTAACATGAAACCCTGAAAAAGAAATAAGAGGAAACAAAATCCTTTTTACTATTAGTGCCCTAAGAATCAATAGTGAAGATGAATGAACAGGAATCTGCAGTTGTGACCTGCAGTGGTTATACAGCATATTTGCCTTTCTTCCTGGAAGAAGAAGAATAGCATATATTCGCAGCAAGTGCAAGCTGCAGCAATCATAAAACAAACAAACAAACAAAAGACAAAGGACAGGAGCAAACAAGTATGTAGCCATATAAAGCTTACTGAAGAGCTGGAGCGGAAGGGAGGGAGGGAGGAGTACAGGAAAAGGGAAAAGGGGATTGGGGATGTTGTTCTTGATTTTTTTTTAACTGCAACCATCCTGTCCGAACCTGCCCTTTTTCAAAGTCAATCTTTCTTTTGCCAGCTTCTCCTACATCAAACTTGGCCCCTGTTCTAATCAGTTTCTGTTGTGCTGATGGACAGATTCATGACCTCCAGATCCAGGAAAGATTGCAACTGGAGCACAAGATGTAATTGAGCAAAGGCCATCCTATGCACAGGAGCCATACGTCCAAGAGGACCCCAAGATATAGGACAGCTTCATCCTGGGGAGCATTATCTTGTCCAGAATTAAAAATAAATCATGTCTGGACTCAGTTTGCCTACAGATCCACATCCACTTTGTCTTGGTAGGATTCAATGCAAGCCATGTATTTATTTATGATTTGATTTGATTTGATTTGTAAGGCCGTCTAATTGCTGACTGACCCATCATGTCCCATCTGGAACCTAGTGGCTTCCAGAACCTCCACTGCATCTTTTGCCCAACCTGAGTTTGAGATATATAATGAGGTTTCGTCAGCATATTGATGATACCTCACTTTGTGCCAGTGAACGACCTCTCAGAAACTTCACAAATATGTTAAATAGTAAGGGGAGAGAACGAAGACCTGCAACACTCAGTGACTAAGGGCTTAACCTCTCCCCATCCATCACCACCAACTGGAATCAGCCACTTAGGAAGAATGAGAACTGCTGAAGAATAGTCCCTCTAACTTCTAACCTTCACAGCTGGTCCAGAAAGATACCATGGTTGATGGTACTGAAGGTTTCTGAGAGGTCCATCAAGACCAGGATAATCATACTCTCTTTGTTCCAATCCCACCAAAGGTCATCAGCAAGAGCAATCAATGCAGTTTCAATCCCACACACAGGCCTGAGAACCCTGACTAAAAAGGGTTGTGATTATCTGTTTTATCAAGGGTTCTCTCTAACTGTAGTCCAGCCATCTTCTCAACAACCTTCCCTAAAAAAAAAGAAGTTAGAGACCAGTCGTCTCTAACTTAATAGCTGTCTGAAACAGCTGGGTTGAGAGATTTCTTGAGGAGGGGGTGCACTATTGCTTCTTACTGGAAGCATACTGAGCTTCCTGTCACCTCCATGGCCATTTCCCCAAGCAAAAAATCTAGAGGTGAGAGAACCAACAACAGAAAGAATCTTGTCTACTTCCTCAGGATCCACAGGCTCAAACCAATCCCAGAACTCCATAATATGAAGTCTGTCATCTCAGCTGGATTTGCCCAGATGGTGTCTAAGTGAACATGGGCAAATGTGATTTTAATCATCCAGATGCTTATCAAATTCATCATGGCAGCCCAGCAGATGATCTACAGCAGAGAAGTAAGTTTGCTTTGCCGCTTTTACTGCCATGTTGAAGGGCTGAACTTGAGCTCTTATCCATATTCAGTTCTATTCAGTATCTTATGCCAGCATTGCTCTGGTTGTCTTTTCTGTTGCTTCATTTATCAAAGCTCCCACAGATCAGTGATTAGAGACAGGTTGCTCAGGGGCAATCCTGTCAAGCACTACTAGTAACTTCTTATTCCAGAGTTCAACCAGGCATTCAACAGAACTGCTTACTTTAGGAAACTCTCCAAGCACCTTTGGAAACCAAACAGATCCATCAGGCTTTTGGGGCAGTTCAACTGAACAGGTCCCTTCTTCTTTGCAGAGGTCCATGATACCCATTAACAAAAGCAGAGAGTGATCTGACAAGATACTGATGGAAATGTCCCCTGCCCTAGCAGCTCTGAGATGAAAACCAGACCTAATATGGGTCCACTTATGTAGATCAGGTCCCTGATCACCTGAGATAAGCCCACAGTTGTCATGGTAGTTCTGAACTCATGGGCTGCTTCTTCCCTTCACTATGTTGAAGATCCCCAGAACCAAAAATCTAGGAACTCCAACACCAGTTCTGTAACAAGATTGAGCAGCTCAGGTAAGAATGAAACTGGTTAAGAGAGCATCCTAATTTGTCCCTTAATCCCAACCTCCCAAACAGCACTTCACATCCAGTTATCCATGGTAAATGGATAACATGGTAAATGGAAAAATTACTCTGGGCATCTTCAGAGTCTCTTGGATGACAATCATCGCTCTATCTCCCCTACCTTTGAGTTGTAGCTAATACCTGAAACTTGAATGGAAATATCTTTGAGAAGAAACACTTCCTTCCACATCTATTCAGATCTTGGCAATATACCCCAGGCTTGGCTCTCATCCAAGATCAAATTATGGGTAAAGATATATTTATTACAGTCAGACCTGGAATTTAATAGCATCAACCAGCGTCCAAGGTACTCCAGAGCCCTGATATCTGATTGTCAAGTATTTGCACATGATACAAAACTAGATGGATAAATAATACCCTAGAAAACAGAAATAAAGTACTTGTAACAGTACCTGTGAAAAATAATTTGGAATATTAGTTGACTGCAAACTGACTACAAATAAGCTATATGATGTGGATACAAAAAGGCATATTCAATTTCAAGCTGCGTCAATGAAGTATAATTCCCCAATCATAATTCCATTCTATTCTTCATTGATTGTACTCCACCTCAACCCACTGCATCCAGTTCTGTGCATTACATCTTAAGAAGGATTCAGAACAACTGGAACAAGTTCAGAGAAGGGCAACAGAGGTGATCAGCAGATTAGAAACTAAGACTTAGAAAGTGAGATTGAAGGAACCAAGTATTTTTATTTTGGCCCTAAAAAAGATTCAGGGGAGATGGGTATATGATAGCATTACCTGAAAGAATGTCACAAAGAAGAAAAAAACAACCTGTTCTCTTAACATTCTAGAGTGCAATAATGACTTTATATGATGTATGAACCAATAAACTGGTAAAGATTAACTAAACTTATGTTAAATTCAGTGGATAAAGGGCTGATCATTTGCTTTCAACTTAGCTGCAGCTGACACTACAGAAATAAATAGGGGAGGAATTAGATATAGCTGAGCTACTTTAGCATGGCCATTGCTGAGAATTCTGGAAGTTCAAGACATCTAGGTTGAGAAGGCTGAGCAACCTGAAATATAATAAAATCAAAATCAGTGGTCACCTGTAAGACAATAAGTAGTTTTGGCCAAAACAAAATTTAAACTGTAACAAGTTAAACAGACACAAAACAGTCCACCAAAACAAAAATGGAAACTACTTTGACTCAGTACTGAACCAACTGCATCCAACATGACAATTTCTCCTACAATCTTTACATAGCTTACCCAAAATCTGAGGGCTCTTATTACCCTGGGAACTGCTGCGACTGGACCTGCTGCTTTTTCCTTTAGTAGGTCTTCTTCTCCTGCCTGACAGAGGGGCAGCAGGAGGGATGATTACTGCTGGAGGTACCTTGCCCAACTTTGTGTAAAGGAGTTCAATTTCCATCTTTTGACGACTCTGAAGTTCCTGAATCTCTTTAAGGTGCCTGCCAAATGGAAAGATGGCATACTTATTTATTTTTCAGTCCTTTATATAATATTTCGTAGACCAATGTTTTTGTACTGCTCCTACCTATAGGTGCATGAAGAATAAAGCTGCTCCTATTAGAGCAGGAAGTAACATCTAGTCAACCTTGGCTGTTTCCCCCCTCCCCCAAAGCCCTAGCAGAATCAAATCTGGTTAGTTCTTGGTTGGGAGACCTTGAAGAAAATCTGAGAGGTGTAGGCTAGATTGAGAAGTTGAAGATATCTTTAAAGAAGGCAATGCAAGACAACCAGGAGTGTAACTCAATTTAGGGGCACCTTTACCTTTTAAAATGTCATATCATTACATCAAAGTTGAATGCAGCAAGTACATTTAAATTCGCAACTATTTGTTCTATTTGGTATACAAGTGGAACCCACAACACAATGTTACAGTGAGTATAACCACACCCATTTCTGATCAGCATGGAAAAATAGTCTTAAGATGCAGTATCATTTGGGAAGAATTTTTAGGAGTGGAAAAGGAAAAAGAATATCTTATTTCTGGTTGTCCTACAACCATCGAAGTATTCACCTGTTGTGCTATTGTGTAGGAATCACTAATTTAAATCTTGCCTCTGAACTTAACTGACTGGAATAACCTTAAACTTCTTCTGCCCAACTGTAATAAGGGGATAATAAAATGAGCATTCATGATGTCTTCTTTATTGACACCCCAATTTTTTTTCCCTTCCCTATTATCAAACTGGCTGTGTATATTTTTTGTACACTCAGTTTCGAAGAGTTTATTTCCATGGATTTTTGGGAACTCTTGCTGTATTGTGGCTTTAATGTTTCAGTCCACCCTCCCTTCATTGAACACCATGTACAGATGTGGAACCCCAGCTCCCAGAATTCCTCATCACATGGCCCTTCCAGAAAATGCCAGATGGGGAAAACCTAAAATCTCTGCTGCTGTAAATTTCTTCCTATGTTTAATTTCAACTGTTATTTTATTCAATTTTGTTCTGATTATAAAACTTGCATAGGCACATACATAATATCTATTTAGCATTTTTGTATTGTTATCTTTAATTTGCATTTTAACTCTAACTTCTGATTCTGGTATGAAGTTTTGTTAACTGCTTTAAGTGCTTGCCATGGGTCAAAAGCCAAGAGATAATTCAAATAAATAAATACATTTCACCCTGAGAGCTTCAGCTATAAACTATATAGACACTAGGCTCTTTGCCCCTTGCCTTTTTTAAAAAACCTCTTTTAATAAAAAAATATTAAAGAGGGTGATAGGATGTTGCAAGTCAAAGCATCAGCCTGTTGCATCATATTTATCTGCAGAAATGCTTGTGAGCCCAACAAAAATCTCGTGGATGGCTAATGAGCATCCTGAAGACTAGCTTGACTTCTAGTTAATAGTTTGGAATTGGCATGGTAATCATGAAAATTTTATGATTGGGTAAGTCTCCCATTATAGGCATTTTGTGAGTGTGCCCACCACAAACACTAAAAATCCCAAATATGCCTTCAGTCCCAAAAGGTTATTTACTCTTGCATCTGATAGAGAAAACTGACTCAGAGAAGGGATATGTCTTCTCACTAGCTGACATAAACCCACTTGAAAACTTACTTCTCCCGCAATCGACGCAGCTCACACTTCAGATCTTCATCTTCTATGTCTGACTCATTGTCACTGCTCATGTAGGAAGAGTTGAATGAGTTGCTAAGGCTCTGGACTGGAAGACTGATCTTTGACCCAGGTGGATGGAGAGAATCTGGACTCCCTGAACCATCATCTAACTCCTTAGCTGCACCACTCAGGAAAGCAGCTTCCAGTTCAGATGACGGCCCATTCAGATGCAGAGACGACCTTCTCTCTGCAAATTCTGATTTAGGAGTTGTAAGTGGAGAAGAAACTTGCTCAGAATCCACAGACAAAGGGACCACTGCAGGAACCTCTCTCTCTATGCAGGTTACCTCATCTTGAGTTCTAGACACAGAAAAGCGACCAACTTGGTCTGTTGTTGTTGTCACCTGGAAACGCCCAACCTTGGTTGGCTGCAAATGAATGGTGGAGGGGAGTGAAAGAACACCATCCGCTGCATCTACTGAAGTAACAGGAATATTATCAGCTGTCCCACTGGACATTTGCTTCACCAGAGTACTCTCTGGACTGCTGCTGGACAAAGATGAGGATTCCGAGGTTGTTGTATCAAAGTGCTTGGGTTTACTTTCACTGTCTTTCTGATCATCCATTGCCACTGACACCTAGTTGTAACAGAGAGATTATTAATTCAGTTTAGTTATAGAAACACATAAGGCGTATAATGCTTTATGTCCCTGTCCTGAAGAAATTACAACCTAAATTTTTACACTGTGAAAGCAAGAGAGAAAGGAAGAGAAATGAAGCAGTATTTGCTTGTTTCAGTTGCAGAAAAAATGGGTGCTAAGAGGGCATAAGAGATGTGCCAAAAGCTTAATGGAAAAAGCCATGACAATTTTAAATAAGTTTCTCTCTTTATACATACTTAATTAACAAGCCAATCGTTGATAAAATGATCCATTGATAAAATGATCACTACTCAATACCAATCACAAAATTAAAAAATCAGTACCTGATCAGAGTTGTGTTATCGGTATAAAAAAAGACACTGTTCCTCTGTTTCTGAACTATGAATCTCAGCCAATTTTGAGAGATAATTGAAGGCCACAATTTCCCCACCACCAGTTTATACAATAGCACTGTTGTTAATATTCTAGTTCATCCATAACAGATATAGAAATAATCATCCCACCTCAGTGTTTTCATTTGGAAATGTTACTTTTGGGTTTTACGTTTAAAAAACTGATGTTTATATTATTTTAAAGACTTTTCCTCTTAAGTTCTATGAGAGGTAGAAATCTACAATATTTGTTTCAAGAATAAATCAACTGAAAGAGAATGTGCTGGTTGCAGAGTTATGCACTCATGTAGTAAACCACTATCCCGGAGGGGAACATTTACCTCTGAGTGCTAGTAGTTAATGACCACAGAAACTATGTTTATTACTTTTCAGCAGCTATAAGGATGGCTGGGAACCTACTACTTTTTATTAGAAAGTTTTTTTCAGAAAGCAAAACAACACTGCAGTGATTCAAATCAAGATTGGTGCAACCATAAACAACTGGGAGTTTATTCACTTTGCCTCTTTTTCTTTTCCTTCTTTGTATATGATCATGGGGAAATAAAAAGAAGAGAAAGAGATGGAATTTTATGGGGCTTCTTTAAAATTTCATTCCTATCCTTTTGATAAACCCTTCTTTGTTCACACAAGATAATTATACCAGGGGAATGTGCTCCCAGTGTTTGATATTGGTGTTGCATTCTGGTTCCCTACACTCTAACCCATTGCCTGACCAGTGGACCTTCAGAGGCCCAGGCTTTCAGCTGCTGCTACTGAATGCCAGGTCAGTCTGTAATAAAGCCTCCCTCATCCATGATTTTAATCAGTCTGCCTCAGGCAACTAATGGATCCCACTGGGTTTCAGAGGGAGCTTGGGGTCATTCCTGAAGGTCTGGTGCATGGTCCAACCAAAACTTTAGTTGCAGCTGAGGCTTTGAATGGATCGCGTCTATGTGGTCTCTTTCCTCTTGTGGAACCTGGCTGAGGAGCTGAGGGAGATGAAGTGCAAGTGGAATGTCACTGAAGGATGACAAGAAGTGAATTCTACCAAGCATGAGTTAAGAGCTGCTGTTAAGGTCTACCTCATGGCAGTAAAGGCAGTGAAACATCAGTATTTCTCTGTGCCTACTGCACACATAGATAGCTGCCCAGAGGTTCTGTTTAGAGTAACCCTGCTCTTCCTGGAAGGGAGGGTCTGGCCAGATGTTTTTCTTCAGGGCCACTATGATGAATATTCTAGGTATCTGTAGAATAAAGTTGCTTGGATTCACTCCAAATGAATTCCAGCCTTGAGGCAGACCCTGAGGAGGTGACTAAGCCTCAGTCTGGTCTGGATCTGGGATGAGTTTGGTCCTAATGGTGGACAGGGTTCTTGGCACTGTTAGCTTGTCCATCTCTGTGGTGGTCCCAGTCCATCCTAGTTAACTAAGGCTTCCTGGGAGAAAACATGCAGTTGGATCTTGGCAGTGGTGAATTCATCTTTGAAAGAGGGGTAAAAGTGGTTTATCCCTTCTTCAAGAAGCCATCACTGGATCAAAGCATTTTGAATAACTTTTGTCCCAACTCCAATCTTCCCTTTTTAGGTGGTCATGTGGTAGCTTCAAAGAATCCTGAGGAAATAAATTATTTGGATCCTTTTCAGTCAACTTTCAGACCTGAGCATGGGACCAAAACAGCATTGATCACACTTGTGGATAGCCTCTAGCGGGAACTGGATGGCGGTGGTGCATCCATCCTGCTGTTCTCTCAGTGACTTTTGATACTATTGATCATGGTATCCTTCTGGATCAGCTCCAGGGATTGGGAGATGTAGTTTGTTTTGGTTGTTTTTCTTTCTCCAGGCCCAGTTCCTGTCAGTGTTGATGCAGGAGGGGGGCAGAGAGAGATCTAGCCGATGCCCCCTTCTCTGTGGGATCCTTCTGGGTTCGACACTCTCCCCATTCCTATTTAACATCAACATGAAACAGCTGAGATTATCTGACAACATGGGATGAGATACTATCAGTATGCTGATGATACCCAGCTTTACATTTCCACCCCAGTCTGACTAAATGATGCTGTGGAGGTACTGTCTCAGTGTGTGCAGATTGTGGGGATCTGAATGTTGAAGGAAAGGCTTCTGCTCAATCTTGGCAAGACAGTGGCTGTGGGTTTTGTGGCCCCCTGGATCTGGGTTTCTTCCATCTTTGGGACAGTGCAGTCTCATCCAGAACCAATGTGCAACTTGGGGGTTCTCCTGGATTCACAATTCAAAGAGCAGGTAGCAGCCATGGCCAGGAGGGCTTTTGCACAACTCCGTTTTGGGCAACAGCTGCACCCCTTCCTGGACTGGGAGGCACTACTCACAGTCACTCATGCCTTAGCCACCTCCCAGGTTGATTACTGCAACATGCTCTACATGGGCCTGCCCTTGAAGGCCATCCTTGTAGCTGCAGCTGGTCCAGACTGCAGTAGTACAGGCAGTTACAGGCACACCTACTGTAAGTATGTCCATGTTACACCTCTGCTCCGTGAACTGCACTGGCTTCCAGTGTGCTTCCAAGTGGAATTCAAGGTGATGGTGTCACCTATAAAGCCCTCCATGGCATGAGGCCAGGTTATTTGTGGGACTGCCTCTACATGGTTGCTTCTACCTGTCCCAACAGGAGAAGCATGCTCTAACTCCCTTCAATTAAAAAATTTCATCTCATGGGACCCGGAAGTGTGCATTTTTCTGTCGTAGCACCTAATCTCTGGAATACCATACCCCCAAGATTAGATTGTGAGTGTTTTGTAAAGCATTGAAAACAGGAATATGCTCCAGGTCGGGAGGCTAGATGGCCTGCTGGGAGGTCTTTGCTAAGTGTTTTATCTGGGTTTATCCTCAGTAATCACTGTAAGTTTCTATTTTTTGCTAACATTGTCTTTATTGTTTTAATGTATCGTTAACTGCCCAGAGTCACACTCATGAGATGGGCAGCCATATAAATTGCCATATTTATATAAAATAAACCATATAAGCCAAATAAGCAATATAAATATAAAATAAATAAACAAACAAATACACTCAGCACAACAAAAACCAACCCAGAAATTCTTTTGGACTAAAACTAACCCAATTCTGATTCCACTACTGTCTGGGTTGTTATGCTTACACAACATGTTAACCTCCCCTTTACCCACCTATTCTACCACATGGACATAACCATTATGAAGTTTGAAAATGCTCAAAGAGAAGAAAACTGCAAAATCAAAGATTGTGTGAGTATTGGTCTCTTAGTGGGCTTAATGGCTTATGAAATGGCTTGTCTAACAGCCAAATAAATAGCTAGAAATTAGCTGAGCAGCAGTTTGGAAAATTGCTATCCACCTAATGCAAATCAGCAGAAGACTTGGAAAAAAGAGGCTCTGAGGCAGAAACAGCAATTCCTGTAAAAAAGGAGCTGAAATTATGGTTAGTACGAGGCAGCAGTCGGAAGCAATGTGATTTGAGGATAGCAAAATCCCACCGACATTAGCTAGGCTAGTCCTGAGGAGACAACACAGAAGAACCTGTGGCATAACAGTCATGATAAAGAAAGGAAATCTATAACCACACCAGTGTTCTTGTGAGAAAGAAATCTATTCTGCCACAATTATTATGTGACTCCACCTTTAATGGTGTGTGTAAAGTCAAGATAGCAAACAGAAATGATAAGAAAATAATCTGGCATTGTGGGAAAAATTTGGTGGGAAATTCCAGAATTAGGAAGAACAGTCTGCCCTACATTTTACTGAAGTGCAGGCACATTTCCACTCAGCTATACAGTCTTTCTTCTGTTCATATAAGCAACAAAGTAACTGAACAAGCATGCATTAATGTTTGTAACAGTATCTAAGTGAATAACTTCAGAACGCTTATTTTTTGTTAGCCATAAAGTTATATTTTTCAACTTTTTCAATTTACCTGTAATTGTGCCATCTTTGCTCCCACAGTCAATATCCAAAGTAAAAAGCCTTCTGTTCTTGGAGGAGGGAGCAAGCCTTGGGTTTTTAAAGGCTAGAATAAGGTTTGGGATGGGATGGGATGGGATGGGATGGGATGGGATGGGATGGGATGGGATGGGATGGGATGGGATGGGATGGGATGGGATGGGATGGGATGGGATGGGATGGGATGGGATGGGATGGGATGGGATGGGATGGGATGGGATGGGATGGGATGGGATGGGATGGGATGGGATGGGATGGGATGGGATGGGATGGGATGGGATGGGATGGGATCTCCCCCCACCCCCGCTTCCTGGCCTCTTTCCTAATTATAACATTCTTGGCAGTGGTGATGGGCTCTAATAGCATCCATTTACCTATGATAACCCCCATCTGTAAAAAATGAGTAATCAACACTTCCTGGTAGCTTCAAGGATAGGCTGGACAAAAAGACAATATACTAAGGTACCTGAAAACGACCCATCTTAAGAACTGCAACTCCTGAGGTGCTAGTTGGGGCAGAGCTCTCTGCATCTTGGGAATCTGAAACAGCAAGTGGTAAGAGAAGATGAGAATGTGACGCAAGTTCTCTATCCCTTAACGCTGGAAAATAAATTCTCTGAGGGAAAAAAAAAATCAATTCAAAATATTAAATTAATTATATCAAATTAAGCCAGTCAGTGGTGACAGTATTGAACTTGATAGGCCAAGGTTCTGACTCCACAGCTTGTTATGTTCCTACGTTCCATTATGAAATATAACAAGATTTTATTTTCAGTACTGCATGAACCTCAAAAGTTTAGAATGGAGGGTGATGAAGAAATTTGAGGGAGTTCACACTTGTTCTGCCTGGACAGGTCAGTGGTCAGCCTATCCAGGCAGAGAGGGAGTCCAGTCCAGCAGGGATCCAGCTATGCATCTGCAAGCTAGGTTTACCCAACAATGCTCTCTGTGGGTGTGTCAAAACAAGCAAGATGGCAGATGCAGCATTGCAATGCAAGGGCTGCCCCTTTCATATATAAGATGCATTTTCTTCTTTGCCACCAGCCCACAGCCACAGTAACCACCACTCCCACATCCTCTTGTCCAGCCTCTCTTGCTCTGATAGCTGTCTGCTGTCTTTACACTCCTTCCCATTGGCTTCCCTCTGCTCACCCCAGCTGGAGAAGGAGGGATAGCAGGGCAGGTGAGGGTGGAGTCATCCCTGCATTCCCCAGGCATCAGGCGCAAGTATGAGAGAATGGCTGTTTCAGAAAGGGGCACAGGGTGGAGGCAGAATTTCATGGCAAACCCTGGTGAACTTGGATAGTAGGGGATTGTTCTTCCTAATTCAAAGGGGAGCTGGATATTGTTCTTTCTGAGGCAGCAGGAACAAGAATGTGGTGCTGGTGTGCTCTCTATCAGCCACGTCCTGCTGCAAAACCAAGGCAAAGCTGCTGCTGCAATCTCCACGGGCCTCTCCTGCTAGGACTTTCCCTTAGCTGTTACTGGCCTCTTCCAATTCTGATGTTACTTCTCTCTCTCCCCCAACCTACTCCCCACATTATCCCAAAGTGCTGGTCTTGGTTTCGGACCCAAGCTAATTACTTTCCCCTGCAATACCCTATGAGATGGACAGCCCTGGGATTTGATGCCAGCTGCCTATCCCTGCCGTGGGTCAGCTGAAAGGGTCTAGGGATGCCTGTGGCAGCTTCCAAAATACTTGTCACTCTTACCATCCAGGCCTGGAGACACAGTGGGCAGAACTGCCTTGTGCTTAGGATACACTTCATGGCCCCATCATGGGTTAGGTGCTAAGCCTGGCTGTCATTGGCAAACTTGCCTGCATGAGAGTGGAGCTACCGTCCTACTGGCCTAGATTAACCCAAGGGGGCTTCTGGGCACAGGTAAGCACCAAAATCTATCTCCAGAAAGAGAAACAGGAGAGAGCCTATCCGGGATGCTCCAGATCAAATAACAAATAATTTTTTGTGGACCCCATCCCCATGAGTAAAACTATCAGACGTACCAGTTTATCCAACCAAAGTTAAAGCCACATCTGTTTTACTGAGGGGGGAGGGTTTTCGCACAAATTGATTTATTATTTTAGGGTGCCACAGAGCCTCAAAGTCTGCGAATCCCTGTTTTAGCTCATTATGGAATTATTAGGACAAAAAATTCTTTGGATTCAATTCCAAAAAGTTGTTTTGAAGCATGTGGAACATGAAAGCAGCATCTAGGAGTCACTTACTAAAACAGCCATATCTGTTTTCAAGATTTCAAGCTGCTTTAGTAAGTTTCTGACAGGTACTGCATTTATGATCCCATGAGCTTCAAAGCCTTTTTTTTAGCACTGAGTCCAAAGCATCGCACAGCTCTACAAATATGCAATTAAAACAATGTGCAAAAAACCTGTTAACCACAAAATCACATTAAATTGAAAAATAATGCACCAATATAAGCCATTTTAGCTACATATACAAGCAAAATTTTCTATCTGTATCACTCAAGCATTTTAAATAGCTGGATAATTTTTTTGTTCATTTATGATGTAATTAAGTTCTAAAAGCAAATATTTTTGAAAGTATAATCCCATTACAAAGAGCTCTAATCCTATTACAAAGCAATCCTAAATAAAACTCTCAGCAATGACAGAAGCATGCTTTCTGGTTTCCAGAAATTGTTACAACCGGAGATTCTTACCAGGATCTGTAGGTTGTGTTGATGTAGACACCATTCCAGTAACTGCTGAAGTTGCCACAGGTGGCACAGGCTATGAAAATACAGCAAAAAATTAATTCTTCTCTTTTATTCTTTTTTAGATCAGGACAATCATCAGTATGTGATCATTCAAAGGTCCCATCATTTCTCTTAAGATGCAAATACCAAAGCAAAGCACTTATGAATATCCACTGTAGCAGGTTAAGACCACTAGGCTTGTGGGGTGACTTGATCTTGCCCCCCCCCACCATCATCTTGAATGTTTTTACTTTCTAGGTACAGGGTTTGTTGTTTAGATTTGATTTTAATGGATTATTTATTTTAACTATTTATGGGAGATTTTTAATTGTTGATGGGGTTTCTGTTTTAACTGTGAGCCGCCCAGAGTCACCCGTTGGCAGGAGATGGGCGGTATACTAAGTAAGTAAGTTCGCCTAATTTCAATGCCGAATGTTCCAGAATGTTGGTGCTATTGCAAAAATGGCCCACACCCCTTGTACTTCTCGCAAGGAGAGAACTCTAAGCAGGTCTTGGACTTTATCATTTTAGGCTACAGTTATGACATGAGATGGTTAAGGTGATGTCTGAGGGCACCTCTCTTGATGTTGACTAGGCTCCATGGCCATCTGACTTTAATTTTTAAAATTACAGATGCATAACAACTGAAAAGCTGCCATACTACAAAGCAAAACTCAAGCAGTTTGCAACATTTTATTTCCAAGAATGTCTTGGGTTTTACATGAGCTTCCTTAGAAAACAAAAATGGTGGCCAGTGCTTTGGCAGAAACTATATTTCTTATCCAGAAAAAAGAAAATGTTGTGTACGCCAGTGCAGTTCGGGATGCTAAGAAGATGGTGGGGAGAAATTTTGCTAGTCTGCATCTCACAAAGGGTTATCCTATCATACCCAATATGACACCAATTCTAAGACAGACCTTTCATCAAAGAGAATGTTTGTACTCAACATTCCAAATGAGTTCATCAGCTGCAAAAACATGCCTCATGTTGGTTCAATCACCAGAAACAAACATGCTAAAGATCCTCCACTGTTTCTGTCCTGCCTGGTGCTCATCGTGTGGGGTGG